TTGTGAGGTAGTTGTTTGTCTTCTCAGCGATCCTTCTTACTCCTGTTTATGATCTTGTTCTACTCTAGAAACAATATCATATGAGACTTGTATTTTTCTTTTGATTCAATTGTAATACTTTAGAGGCTTGTACACGTGACAACCAGATTTTGGGGTTAATTTAAGTTGATTATGAAATTTCCGCATTTTATTATAATGGTTGAGTTTTAGGCTGACTTGTCTTGGTGGGATAAGACGAGTGCTATCACATCCATTTTTTGGGTCGTGACATGTCATTACGTACATACAATTACAAACTTTAAATTCATATAATTTTATAAAATATAATTGGTACAAAAAATCAAAATAATAATACAGATAATTTATCCACGTTGAACATGGATCTTTTATTGATAACTTGAACTAAACTTATGAACTAAATTTGCAAAACATAAACTTATGAATTAAATTTTATTTTAGAATAATAACTTGAAATTTGAAATCCATATTTAAAGAAATTTCAAATTTCAAATCTTTGAGCCCCTAATTAAATCCTATGATCAATCACCTAACAAAAGCTCCTTACATACACATTTTTTTAAGAGAAAACTTAAGACTCTTAGCAAACACTAAAATTAATACAAGTACTTTCATGATTAATTAAAGCCTAAAAATCTTGACATTAGTATTATTTAAATGGATCATTTGCTTATACCGTACGTGTTGGATTTTTTTCTCTAAATAACACGGAATATTGCAAAACATTCAACGATAATACAATTTTATTTTAAGTAAAGAAGTACTACAAGAACATCAATTGATACAAAATGTCAACAAATAAATAAAAATTAATTAATAGCTTATAGTCGACAACTCATCAAACTTATCTTCAACAATATCTATTATTATTACTATTCTATGATTACTTATAGAAACACTAAATTTCCTATAAATATCCCCATAAAAACCAAATGAATCGAAAACATAAAATTAAAGCAAACAAAATTAGATAAAAGATCATGGAAAAGTTAACATTCTTGGTTGCTTTCTTGCTTCTTTCATCAAGTAATTAACCCTTATTCTCCTCCTATTACTTCCCACATTTATTATTTTTACTTTCACTATTAAAAAAGCGTGAATTTTCGATGGACCTTTTAATGTGAGAAATTTCATATTCTAACGGTGTTTTAACTAGAATATTTGTCAGAAATTTGCATCTTTTTAGTAGTATTTTTTTCACATTTATTTCTACTTATTGAAAAAAAAATTAATTAATGTAAATTATACTATGAACAGTCTATATTCAACCTCTCACGGCTCAATCCAGTTGTCCAGGTTTGGTTAATAAAACTCTTCATCTCCTGCTTACTAATTCCTATATATTATTATTATTACTCCCTCTGTCCCATATTAGATGGGCATCTCACAAAAAGTATTTGTACCATATTACTTGATCAGTTGGATAGAATTATTAAATTTTACCATTTTATCCCTACAATTAATATGGTCTTTGAAAATTTAAACAAATTTTGAAGATCCAAGAATATTTTTTTTCAAGAGTCTAATTAAGGGCAAAAAAGTAAAATTGATATCTATTAATAATTTCTTACACGGTATAAAATAGGAAGTATCCATCTAATATGGATCGACAGATGGAGCTAGTACATAATTGTTTGTGCATATATAATGTTTCTTATTATTTTCATCATATATGTATAAATTAATCATAGGGGTTAAAAAGGATACATGGCCAGAACTTCTTGGAGTACCAGCAAAGTTGGCTAAGGGAATAATTCAGAAGGAAAATCGAAGACTATCTAATATTCCAAATGTACTCAATGGTTCTCCAGTCACGAAAGATCTTAGATGTAATCGAGTTCGTCTTTTTGTTAACGTGTTGGACTATGTTGTACAAACTCCCCGAGTTGGTTGATTCGGGGGAGAAAATTTATTCACATCGAGTGTTTACGTATATGTATGTTTAGCCCCAAGAAAATAAATTGGAGTCGTATGGTAAATGCTCTCCATGCATGTAATATACTATTTTGTGATAAATAAGTGTGGCTTTAAGTAGAAATATATCCCTTTTTTTAAGATGAATTTTATTGATCGCAAGCTAAAGACAGTATAATTAAATGTTGATCAATATTCAATAAACAGACAATTGATACAAGTCTACTCATTTATATCAAGAAAAATCAATCACAAAATAATTAAATGTTTAATAGATAACTGGCACAAGAGACTTGCAAAACTGTTAATTAAATAATGAGAAGATCGATGATATCAATCACATTTGTAGGTGAGTAAATAACTCAACTGTAGTTGTTTTATTTGGAGACAAATAACATCAATACTAATAGGCTAGTAGTAGGAACCTCTTCGTCGATGTGTTTGCTTCATGTCAAAAAGCTCAAAAACTTGATCTTTTTCATTAAAAAAAAAAGATCTTAGCAATTCTTATCAAGTTTTTTTGTTTTTTCTGAAAAGTATTTTTTTATATTCAATTTTGTATTGGACAAGAAAGGAATTTCTTTTGTGTATGTGCGCCTCAAAAAAGTATAGTACTCGATTCCATTACATGCATCGAGGGCAATTGGAAAAGTCAACATTTTTTGGAATACTGACTATAATATGAATAGATGTTACAGATGATGAATCAATTTGATTCCACATAAAAAAAATATCAAATAAGTGAAACCCAACATAAATAAAATATAATATTATTGATAACGTCGTTAAACATTTATCGAATAATGCAATACCACTTTTAATATAACTTGTTGGTCGTGCTAGCATGGGACTACCACTCCGAAAATGAAAAATGTCAAAATAGAAACAAGAATGAATACTATTTGCATCTAGTATACATGTACATACGTATATGCAAATTCCAATAGGGAAAATGTGTTACATTACTAATCAAAGTAAGATGGATAAACCTCAACATATTATATAATATTTTCTTATTAACATTTATGTGTAGTGGTTTTTTATCATATGTTAATTAGGGAGTTTTTAAGATTCAATTTTCTACTAGTATTTTTTTTTCTCTATTTTTTCGAGTGCATACTTGATGACTTGTCAATATAACATATTATGATATGTTGATTTAAATCCAAACGTTAATACTATTAAAACATGTACATGTTAATTATGCATGCATGCAATAGAGGGATGTAAACTAATGAAGAAAAATTATAAGCCAACCGCTAATACATACAATTAAGATTCAATTAATCCACCTATAACATATTTTACCCTTTGCCAATTGCCATTAACACAAAACTAATTAATCCCTTTACCCATAAGCTTTAATTTGGGAGATAAATTTTGATTTTCAATTTCTAATTTTGGGTAAAAGGGTAGAAATTATTTAGATGGGTAATACCGGAAGTAATGGTCTGAATGGCCGGAGAAGAACTTACAGCCACCGGCGGAGCCACCCGCCACAACCGGAGATCACCGGTAACAGCTACGTATTTGCCGCAGCAACGCCACCATATTCTTATCAGCAAAATCCTAATACTACACCGTATTATCAGTACCCAGGTTATTATCCGCCGCCGTATGAACAGCATTCCCACCACCATATGAACCCTAATTATGCAAATTGGGTTAATGGAGGTTACCCGTGTGGACCACCCATTATACCTCCTACGCCTGCACCCTATGTGGAGGCAGTGGAGCATCAAAAAGCAGTGACGATACGTAATGATGTGAATCTGAAGAAGGAGACTCTAAAGATAGAGGCAGATGAGGCTAACCCTGGAAAATACCTCGTCGCTTTCGATTTCGATGCCACCATACCTGGAAGGTAAACATTATCCTTCCTCTTTTTTCACCTGATGTTCGATACCTGTATTGGGTCCGATTCACAAATTAAGGGTAAGGTGCTCACTAATAAAGAAGCTGAAATGTAGTACTTACTGCTTCACCACAACCATTATTGGTTGTTAAATGTATGTAAATTTGTATATATTGTCCACGAGGTAGTGGTAAAGTATGTCTGCCCAGAGGCGGACCCACCTTTGTCAGAGGAGGTGCACGTGCACCCGTTAACTTTGGAAAAAATCATGTGTATATATGTATATCTATTTTGGTAGAAACTAGGATATTATTAACAGTGCATCCATGAGTAGCATATGAGTGTTCTTGTGCCGCGGATACAAGGCAGAAGAACCACCCGCGAGACCAGGGTTCGAATCCAGCTGGGTTCGCCTCTGTGTCTACCCTCTACCCTCCTCAGATCCCACTTGTGGGATTGCATGGGTATGTTGTTGTCCATGCCATTGAAACAAGGAGAAAAATTGTTTCCTAATTCTACCTTTTCCAAAAATTAAAAACTACTGTAATAAAAAGAATCAGCTTGATCATAAAATAGAGATTTTGTGTAGTTAATATGATGAAGAATGATTTTCTTGAAAAATATTTTATGAAGAAAATGTTTTTCAGTATTTGGTTATGTTGTTGAGTGTTGTCACACTTTGTGCGTGAGATCCAAGAGCATAGGGGATAGTCTCGTCTTCTTATCTTCTCCTAATTATTTAGTAGTAGTATTTACTATTCACATAGTATCTTGTTCTTCATTTTTACTACCACTTGTTGCTTGTTTATCTCGCTATTTTGTGGTTGTTATTTTCTTTTCAATCCTGCTTTGATTACACTTATGTTGTGCCGAGTGTCTATCAAAAACAACCTCTCTATACCTTGCAAACCGCTCCTCAGACTCCACTTGTGGGAATACACTTTGGTATGTTGTTGTTGAATTTTGGGAACTGAGAGAAACGGACGCTTAAGAAAGTTTATAAGACGACAAAGACAGAAGCTAAGTTAGCAGTTACGAAGGCTAAAACGGCAGCTTTCGAACGCTTGTATGTCGAGCTGGGGGACAAAGGTGGGGAGAAGAAATTGTATAGGCTCGCAAAAGCAAGAGAGAGGAAGGCTCGCGACTTGGACCAGGTGAAGTGTATCAAGGATGAGGAAGGCAAAGTATTGGTGGATGAGACCTCCATCAAGCAAAGATGGCGAAGATACTTTCACAAACTTTTAAATGAAAAAGGGGGCGGAGACATTGTGTTGGGTGATTTGGAGCACTTTGAAAGTCTTCGGGACTTTGGGTACTGCAGGTGTTTTAGGATCGAGGAGGTTATACGTGCTATTAGTAGGATGAGTAGGGGAAGAGCGACCGGACCCGATGAGATTCCGGTGGATTTTTGGAAGAGCACGGACAAGGCGGGTATAGAGTGGTTGACTGGGCTGTTTAATGTTATTTTTAAGACAGCAAAGATGCCTGATGAATGGAGGTGGAGTACAATGGTTCCGTTGTATAAAAACAAGGGTGATATCCAGAACTGTAACAACTACAGGGGTATCAAATTGCTAAGCCATAGTATGAAGATTTGGGAGAGAGTGGTGGAGATGAGGGTGAGAAAAAAGGTGTCCATTTCTAAGAATCAGTTTGGATTCATGCCGGGACGGTCGACTACCGAAGCCATTCATCTTATGCGAAGACTGGTAGAAAAATATAGAGAAAGGAAGAGAGACATACATATGGTGTTCATTGACCTTGAAAAGGCCTATGACAAAGTACCGAGGAATGTCCTCTGGAGGTGCTTGGAGGCTAAAGGTGTCCCGATGATTTATATTAGGGCGATAAAGGACATGTACGGTGGAGCCAAGACTCGGGTTAGAACGGTTGGAGGTAACTCGGAACATTTCCCAGTTGAGATGGGGTTGCACCAAGGATCAGTCCTTAGCCCTTTTCTATTTGCTTTGGTGATGGACGAATTGACGCAGTATATTCAGGAGAGGGTCCCATGGTGTATGTTATTTACGGATGACATAGTACTGATTGATGAGACGCGGGACAGAGTTAATGCGAGGCTGGAGGTGTAGAGACAAACGCTGGAGTCCAAAGGATTCAGGTTGAGTAGGACCAAAACGGAATATTTGGGGTGCAAATTCAGTGATGCGTTGGATGAGGCAGATGTAGAAGTGAGACTTGCCACACAGAGCATCCCCAAGAAAGAAAGTTTTAAGTATCTTGGGTCTGTAATACAAGGAAGTGGTGACATCGATGATGATGTCACACATCGCATTGGGGTTGCGTGGATGAAATGGAGGCTTGCCTCTGGAGTCTTGTGTGATAAGAAAATTCCACCTAGACTTAAAGGTAAGTTCTACAGAGTGGTAGTTAGACCGGCCTTGTTGTATGGAGCGGAGTGTTGGCCAGTCAAGAACTCTCATGTTCAGAAAATGCAGGTTGCGGAGATGAGGATGTTGAGATGGATGTGTGGGC